CCTGTGTTCAGATGCAGCTCCTGAGCCACAATAAAAAGCAGGACGGACTCCACCATTACAGAATGGGGAAGGGGGTCACCTGACAGGTAAGATCTTCGGACAGGAGTGGACCTCCAGGACAAAGAAGGGCTGCCATCTGACCGGGCGCAGTTTGAATCACTTCTGCATTCGTCCTAAGTTCAGGTGAAATCAGTAAAACTAGAGTCTGGAGCAAAAGTCTGTCTATGTCCGGCTCAGACTGAGAGACCATCTAAAGGCTCAGGAACCCTCAGCAGCTGTTCTGGGTTCATCAGCTGATCAGAGTGTGAAGGTTGAACCTTTTCACAACAATCTGATTATCTGAGATCCTGAATGTGGGGATTTCATCAGCTGTATGCCATAATCATCACAGTTAGAACAGCTGCAGGCTGAAACATCTGGATTAGCCTGGAGTGAGTCCGTCTCACCTTTTAGGCTGGATTACTGACAGAAATCAAGTTTTACACCATATTCTAGTTTTTCCTGTTTCACCTGTAAAAGACGATGCAACACCATGACACATTTGGACTTGGAGAATCCAAACTGAGACGTCTGTGAATATTTTAGTAAAACTTTTCAGACTGACGGGGGCGAAACAGAAACTGGCGATAAAAGGATGCTGGATTTCTGACTTATTTAAGACTTTATTATCATAAAACTAGTTTGGGAAAACTAACATCTATCAGCAGGATGGAGGAAATGTTAGGCAGAAACTGGAAAAATATCCCAACAAGCTGACAACCGGATAATGAGCAATTCCTAAAGTTTTGGGCAGGACCTTGTTCCTCGGCTCTTGTTTCCAGTCAGCCCACACGGTCGTGGGGTTTATTTTGGCTCCAGCAGTCTAGCTGTGAAAACGGAGGCGGATTCACGTTCAGCGTTCCCGAACGGCATCTCGGAAGGTCGCAGGAGGATAGAACAGAAAGATTGTGTAACTTATGAAGCTGTAAAATGAAACGTGCCATTTGTCTGGTCTTATCTGGTTGATTTCATGCATCTCTGATGAATAAATTAGGGATCTGTGAGTTTTGATGGAGTTGTAGTCTTCGTCACAGAAGACGAGGTGTGAGTCCCTCAGCTTCAGCTGGAGATTCCATAAACATTTTAAAAATGACCTCTAAACAAATCTGGTCTTTTCTCGCAAACGAATAAAAGAGGTTTTATTTCTCTAATCAGGATTATCCTGGATGTGGAGTTGGTGGGAAAGTACCTCCTCACAGAGAGGATAGAGGAGCTGATGGATCACATCACTCTTCAGTGTCCCACTGAGGACCAATTCCTGAGGAGCAGCACATGAAGGAGGACCAGATCCTACCAGGTATAATACCGCTCAGCCCTCCTGGGAGCACTGAGGCTCTGACCTCTTGCAGATGGGATAAGGATGAGCAGCCTAGCTTTCCTCTGGAACAGTGGACCATATCTCTGTAGCTGGGAGGGTCATGGGAAGCTGAAAAAGACCAGATTGTGTCCTGGAGGCCTTTTAAAGGGACTTTGTGAGATGATGGGTTACTATGGAGTCCCACAGCATGTCTGAGCAGCAGATAGAGCTTCATCTGCAGAAATGGTGGCAGCGCTTGTTCGTCTCACTGATCTGAGCCAAAAACTGACCATCTGCAGTCCAGCCGTCATGGGCACTGGATCTGGATTATGACTGAAAAAGGAGATCCTGGACACAAGGACCTGGAATGATTGTTCTTCACGGAAGGTTGGTTCAACCTAAGAAGGGGTTGAGGAGCTCCATCTTCTAGAGGGATCTGCTGACAACTGAGATTATTCAGATATCTGATAAGGAATTCCAACCACAGGAGATTTTCCAGGGACTGGATGCTGACCCGGAGCATTTTTGATTTTGCTGGGAAGGGTCTGGGCTCCCCTCCTGGATCTGACCTCAACTTTGGGTAAACAGATGAACAGAGAGTTTTTTTAACCATCCGTCATTCCCAACCATCTTACATCCCATCAGAGGAAAGATCTTCAATTTGCCTCGATCCCGGTTTCTGTTCACAAATGATTTCTGTTATGGAAAAATTTATGTTTATTAATTCTTGATCATGGACTCAATCAACTGAATATAAATGTATTGCTCTGTGCCTCTCTGCATACCCACTCATTCAGACACACCCACAC